TGCCTAACAAATTGGGACAACTTTTTTCTTTTTTATTCACCTTGTTTTTTCCTAGAATTTGGCAATGAAATCTACCACAGTTAGGCAATATTATCTATATATGATTAATTTATACCTGGAAATCTCTTAGAAGAAAGGATATCTATTGATAATTACAAGAAATCGTCAATCCAATCTCAACATCTGCCCCCAAAGCAATTTCACTTGTAAACGTAGTATTAAAAACGGCAGGATACAAAATTGACAAATCGATTGTGTTACTAATTGGGATGAGTTTCGCTAGAAACTAGTCGAACCACTTGGGTTATTTATAATGACAAAGGAAGAATCGGACTAATTACGTGCAAGCATACCTAGTATTTGTATATATCCACAACCACCTCGTGAACTTATCTTCCTCTATTGTTTTTAATTATTTCCGTTTTAATTTTAAAAAAAAGTCAACGACACAAAAGTCAACACTTCCAAAGCGTTGTTTAAACGCGACACGTCGAACGACCATTTTTCATTCATTAAAAACTCCAAAATCTTAACGCGTAGACAGCGTAATGGGACCCTTCTATATATATTCCACAGGAAAAAACCCACCTCCCTCACTAATAGAACAAAAGAAACAATGAGTTCATCAGCACACACTGTAAGTTTTCTTCCCTCTTTTTCTTGAGATACATATATGTACATACATTACCATGTTCTGTATGAACAAGATAGTACGGTTCTGTAGACAAAATGCTGACTTATTTTTTCTTCTTTAATACTGTGGAGTACTAAATGTCTAAATTGATGTTTTCCTTAATGCATACATGCTTCCATGGATGATTTATTCTGTTTTCTAGATTGGCCATGATAATTTTACTGTTTCCAAGGTTTTTGAGTAAATTATTTTGTGATTTATTCTTTAAATTCCTCATAATTTTTAAAAATTTTGGAAAAAAGTTTCAAAATTTTGATTGATTTCTTGTACAGTTGCAAGTTTGAGGTGGTTCATATGTAGATTTTGTGGCTCAATATCTAAAATGATATTTCATAGAACATAGGTTGAATTTTGCTATAATGGGCTGATTAAGAAATTTTATTTTGCTGTCATGGATGTAAATGTATAATCAACCTGTAGGGAAAGCTGTGTAGGACACAAAGAAGTAAGTACTTGCCATTAATGAAACAATGGCAAAGATTACTTTTCTCAAGTAGTGATATTTTAGTCCGTAGTCAGTTGGCCAAGTCTTCAAAAATTGTACTAAAGCATCGACGCATCATGAAATCCCTTTCTGGATAACTAATATGATTAATGAATGATCATTCGAGTATTCATCTTTTAGCTCTCAATTTATGGTTCATTTTGTGACTAGTGCAGAATATATGATGTGTATTTTCATAGTTCTTTGTCCTTTCTATATATATGTTCTTATCTTGTTCAATCTCATGTACTGACGCTATAAATAATGCCTGATTTGGTAAGATAAATGCTTATAAAATTTAATTCTGTTTGCAGAATGTTTGTGCTATTTGCTCGAAGAGTGTTGCTACAGGGCAAGGCCAAGCCATCTTTACTGCTGAGTGCTCCCACTCCTTCCATTTCGGCTGTGTTAGCAAGAGCGTCTCGAATGGTAATTACGCTTGCCCTGTTTGCC